TTAAATAACCGGATTATGGTCCAACTATACACGACGCACATTTTTTGTATTTTGTTTGATAAAAACGAACAAGATCACGAATAACTAACAAGAACGCCACGTAAAATCCAAAACTTGTACAGCAAGACCATTTGCCATTATTTTTATTTCTTTTTGGAATGATTATCGCGTAAACAAAAATCACGTGCTCACAGGTGTCTCAACTGTCAACAGGTGAAATATGAGCATTAGAGGCCGGGTGGCTTGCTTCAGCAGATAGAGATTCCAGAGTGAAAGTGGGAGCGGACCACCATGGATTTCATAGTTGGGCTCCCACGTACTTCGAGGAAGTACAATACTATTTGGGTGATTTTAGATCGACTGACCAAGTCCACGCACTTCATTCCTTTAAGTACTACCTATTCTTCAGACCGGTTGGCAGAGATTTATATCAAAAAGATTGTTCGCCTTCACGGTGTGCTAGTTTCCATCATTTCAGACAGAGGCACGTAGTTTACATTGCAGTTTTGGAGAGTCGTGCAGTGAGAGTTAGGCACTCAGGTTGAGTTGAGCACAGTATTTCATCCTCAGACGAACGGACAGTCCTAGCGCACTATTCAGATATTAGAGGACAAGTTATGTACGTGTGTCATTGATTTGGTGGTTCATGGGACCAGTTTCTACCACTCGCAGGATTTGCCTACAACAACAGTTATCAGTTGAGCATTCAGATGGCTCTGTATGAGGCTTTATATGGGAGGCGATGTAAATCCCTAGTGGGTTGTTTTGAGCCGGATGAGGCTAGGCTTCTGGGTACCGACTTGGTTCAGGATGCTTTGGATAAGGTGAAAGTGATCCAAGAGTAGCTTCGCACAACACAGTCAAGGCAAAAGAGTTATGCTGACAGGAAGGTATGTGATGTGTCTTATATGGTTGGGGAGAAGGTTCTACTGAAGGTTTCACCCATGAAGGGTGTTATGAGGTTTGGAAAGAAGGGCAAGTTAAGCCCTCAGTTTATTGGGCCATTTAAGGTGCTTTGGAGGATTGGGGAGATGGCCTATGAGCTTGCTTTGCCGCCTAGCTTATCGAATGTGCATCCAGTATTTCATGTTTCTATGCTTCAGAAGTACATCGGCGATCCATTTCATGTTTTGGATTTCAACATGGTTCAGTTGGATGATGATTTAACTTATGATGTGGATCCGGTGGCCATTTTGGAGCGGCATGTCCAAAAGTTGAGATCAAAGGATATAGCTTCAGTGAAAGTGCAGTGGAGAGGTCAGCTCATGGAGAAGGATACTTGGGAGACTGAGCGGGAGATGCGGAGCAAATATCCACACCTATTTGAGGCTCCGGATATGTTTCTAGACCCGTTCGAGGACAAACGTTTGTTTAAGATGGAGAGGATGTAACGACCCGGTCGGTTGTTTCGAGAGTTACAGCCCTGTTCCCCTTTTTTCTGCTTCACTTGTGTTCTTCAGCTGTATTATGTCTTACCGGGTCAGTTGGTTCGGGTCCGGAGTGGTTTTGGAGTAAATTGAGACACTTAGTCTCTTAGGACGAAGTTTAAGTTGGAAAAATTGACCAGATGTTGACTTATGTATAAATGATCTCATATTTGAATTTTGATGGTTCTGTTAGCTCCATTAGGTACTTTTAGACTTGGGAGCACATTCGGAATGTGATTTGGATGCCTGTGGTAGAATTAGGCTTGAATTGGCGAAGGTTAGAATTTTAGCGATTTTGGTCGGTAGTGGAAATTTTGATATCAGGGTCGGAATGGAATTCTGAAAGTTGGAATAAGTTAGTGGTTCCTTTTTGACTTGTGTAAAAAATTTGAGGTCATTCGGACATGGTTTAGCGGGTTTCAGCATCATTTGTGGAATTCAAATGTTTAGAAGTTCTTAGGCTTGAATCCTAGTGTAATTTGGTGTTTTGATGTTGTTTTGGATAATTCGAAGGTTCGACTAAGTTTGTATGACGTTATGGAATATGTTGTTATGTTCGGTTGAGGTCCCGAGGGTCTCGGGTTGATTTCGGGTGATTAACGGAACAAGTTTGGAAATTGGAGGAGTTGGTGAAGTTGAACTCACCTGTCATAATCGCACCTGCGGATGTCTCATCGCAGGTGTGAGCCCGCAGCAGTGAGCGATAGATAGCAGATATGAGATCGGAGGAGCAAGGCAGAGGGCGCAGGTGCGATGAAGTTCCTGCACCTGCGATGGTCCTAGAAGCGGATTTTGGGGCGCAGGTGCGTGTTCGGACTCCAGGTGCAATGGTTTTTCCGCACCTACGATGACCGCAAATGCGGTCTAGAGGCGTAGAAGCGGTCCCAAGGGTTGTAAATGATTTCTGCAGAAGCGAAGCTTGGTCTGCAGATGCGGTGAAGGGACCGCAGGTGCGGCTTCGCTGGGTAGAATGTATAAATAGAGGACTTCGTGATTTTTCCTCATTTCTACCATTTTCTACATGGACCTTGGAGCTTTTGAGGTGATTTTTGAAGGAGATTCAAAGATTTTCACTGAGGTAAGTCCCTTGAACCTAAGTACCCTTAGCTATTGTATTTTCCCGTTGATTTCTCATCTAATTAGTGGGGTTTTGAAGTGAAAATTTGGGGTTAGGGCTTGGGATTTTTTAGAGTGAACTTTGGAGTTTTGAGTGACCAAATAAGGTCGGATTTTGGTAAATTTGGTATGGTTAGACTCGTGAGTAAATGGGCTTTCTAGTTTTGTGACTTTTGTCGAATTTCAAGACGTGGGCCCGGAGGCCGAGTTTGAGCCAATTTCAGGATTGGAGTCCAATTTAGTAGTTTTTCCTGTGGTATTGGTTCCTTGGAATATATTGATTGTATTGTATTGCTTTTGGCTAGATTTGGGATGTTTTGAGGCCGATTCGAGAGACAAAGGCATCGGATTTTGCTCGGATTGAGGTAAGTAATAGTTGTAAATCTGGTCCTGAGTGTATGAAACATGGACATTGTGTCTTCTGACTATTATGGAGGTGACGCACATGCTAGGTGACGGACGTGTTAGCATGCACCCAGGGGATTGTGACTTGGTCCGTCCCGTAGAACTGTAAAGTTGAACGACATACTGTTAGCTATATGCTCTCTATGTGTTATGAAAAATTGACTGTAAATCATGTTAGAAACCATGTTTAGGCTATATGTTGGTACTGTTGGGTCCCATAGGGGCCGTGTTTCATGTTGAATTGCCTGTTAAATGTTATTTGTACTCAGTCACAGTTTTTACTCGCATATCATATCTCAGTCTCTGTTATTCTATTCGATGCATCATGTTATTGTTGTTTGGGCTGATTTTCCTAATACTTGAGAGTCCGAGAGACTACAGATATTGATGACTAAGTGAGGGCGAGGGCCTGATTGTGAGGATATTTATGGGATCGGACTGCACGCCACAGCATGTTTTATTGATTTATGCTTGAGTGAGGCCGAGGGCCTGATTGATTTATGCCATGATTGGCTTGCTATAGAGCTTGGGCTGAAGGAGCCCCTCCAAAGTCTGCACACCCCCAGTGAGCGCAGGTACCTACTGAGTGTGAGTGCCGAGTGTTGAGTGATTGTGAGGAATGAGTGATTGAGAGGAATGAGTGATTATGAGGTTGGAGTTATTGGGAGGACTGGGAGATGATTGCCCGAGAGGCAATATATGATTACATTACTGATGACACAGTTGCGTTATATCCATGTTTTTAAAATAGTTGAAAGATAGTCTTATCTGATTTTACTTGAACTTGACTAAAATAAACTAATTTGACTTGAATTACCGGAACTTGGAAAGCATGACTATTTTCCTTTCTGAAATTATTGAAAAATGAACTAAAACTGGGTTGCTCGTCACTATCTTCAGTTCCTTATTTATTATTGGTACTTATTGAGTTGGTATACTTATGTTACTCCATGCACCTCGTGTGCAGATTCAGGAGTTATTAGACGCGGAGGTTGTTGATAGTACTCGTAGCTGGTCATTGGAGATCACGAGGCAGCTGCCGGCATTCGCAACCCTGCTTTCTTCTTCCCTATATTTCCTTGTTTTGCTGTATTTTGGATTCCAGACTATGTTAGTCTTGTTATTTTTGGATCGATTATGTTAGATGCTTATGACTAGTGACACCCCGATGTCGGACTTTATTTCCGCACTTATGTTATGGGGTTCACTCCCTTTTTATGGCAAAGATTTTAGTTAATTGTAAAGTCTTGATTTATTTCTGGTTATTGTTGAAAGCATTTTGGAAATGTTGGTTGGCCTAGTATCATCGATAAGCGCTATCATGACCGGTCGTGTTTTGGGTCGTGACATATCGAGGGTCTATGGGAGTTTTTCCAATTAAAGTGACATTATTCGAGATGTGGTTATTTTATTTAATTTTTCAGAGTCGCCACTTGGAATAATTTATTTTTTATGTCCCAAGTCACCGGTTTATTTTTAAATCCCAAATCGAGGAAATTTTTGACTTTATTTAAAAGTCTGCAAACCAGAAATTCTAGATAAGGAATTCTGTTAACCCGGGAGAAGATGTTAGGGATTTCCAGGTTCCGTGGTTCTAGCACGGTCGCTTAGCAATTTATACTTGGATTAAGTTGTTTAATTACTTATTTTAAAACTTATGTGCATTTACCTTTTTTAATTACAAAATTATCTTAAAACAGGTCAGGCGTATGTGTACCATTTGTTTGGCGCATCAAAAATCATGTCACGTGTACGTGTCCATAATTAATCACACTTTATTATTATTATTAAGAAAGTTTGGCCAAAGTTGCGCGAACGCATACCTTGATTTATTTATTTATTTATTAAAAAACAATCGTAATTATGTCACGCGAACATGTACACAATCACGATGATTCGATTAAGTCGCACCTAAAGCATTTTCTATGAATATTCATTTTAAAAAAAAACGTACTCGTGTCACGTGGATGTGTACACAATTAATAGCATTTTATTATTATTAAGACTGTTTTGCCCAAAATTGTTCAATAATGTACAAAAGTTTGTCCACAATATGAAATCTTATTGTATTGCAGTATCAGGAACACGTTAATTATCAAATATATAGTGGCAACTTCTTAATGCCAACTCCAGTAATACAAAGATCAGAGCATTGAACCAACTCAAATGCGCCACATAGTAAGTATTAGTTCGCCGCTATGAGTATGACAACTTCAACAGACAACACCACCCTAAGGAAAGAATACAACACATGATCCCTAACATAACAATGATTCTATAGAGCAGATAAAATAAAGCATGCCAATAAGGAAATATAAGAGCAAGATTCAATAGACTGTCCATTCGATTTAAAACACAATACCGACTGCTGGAACATCATATGAGCAAATGTCTACTACCAAAAAATAAATAGTTAAACCAAGCCAAATGCTGGAATACGCCCAGCTAACATGAAGTTTGCATTTTAAAACTAAACCAAAGCAAATGCTAATAAATGGTTCAAATTGTACTTAGACAGATCCATATTTAGGCCTTAGATACACTAAATTTCAGAATGGTAAATCTCCTTAAGTTGCAGGCATTCATTTCTTTACATATTAACAAAAGAACAACTATCATTAACCATACAACTCAAGAACAGAAGCTACTTTACTATTCATTTACACCAAAAGAAAAGTTATTTAATTATACTAATCAGCACTAAAGAGTGGTAATGAGCATCACACGGGCATTATGAAAATTAGAAGGAACAACAGAAAAAGTAATCTTCTGGAGATCAACCTTTAAATTGAGATAGGAAATATCAAACGTAAGAATCCATAGTTAATGAAAGTAAACAAATGAAACTAAGTCTTTAAGTAGCAAACCTTACTATTCTGGGTGCACTGGGTTCATTCAAACAATTAAAGGCTACACCAAAGTCGCTGATTCACGACTAACATAGACTCCTTCAATCCTACACATAATGGCATGCTCTAATGGATATGTCATGTTAAACTAATCAAGATGTTTGGATATAATAGGAATCACTGATTAACATTATTGTGAATCCAATTTGGAATCGAGATGTGCAAGAAATTCTTCTAATAACCAAAAATAAGCACAATAGTAACATGTCTCGCCTATCAATCACAGAGCGGACTAGAAGATCAGTCATTCATGTAAAAATCTAGTAAGTACAAACTTTAAAACATATTTCAAACACATAAAGAAATTAAACACCTTAACATATAAAAAAACAAAAATCCATAAACTGGTAATAGCTCGATCACAGCCGGCATTCACTAACACTCACTTAAGTATACCATGTAATTTAAACTTTCATATCTTAAGCTCCAACCATACTTTGATTCATACATACATAAACATAGTAAGATAAGATGTGAACCTGAATGGGAGTTTGCGATTAATTTGCCAGAAGGCGATTACAAGATAGTCCGGTGACAAACTTGTCCGCAAACCTGGAATGGCAGTAAACTAATCAAGGACGGACAACTTGAACCTCGAACAGAATCAACCTCACTGGAAAATGTATTTTCAAATGCGAACTAGAAACGATCGCAGCTCTTTCGAACACCCATGTTTGAGACTCGAAATCAAAACACAAAAACTGGAATACTTTTTTTTGTATATGTTTTCGAATTGAAATGCTAATTTACTCAAAATAGAAACATTCTTTTTTAGAATTGAAAGGAAGTACTGAAATACATAACTATTTTTCTTTTTTTTTTTGAATTTTTTTGTCCAGATCTTTTGAAGCAAAACTCGTAACAAAATAACAACTAAATTCTTTAGTATTTCTTCTCTAGGATTGACAAGACAACAGAGAAAAAAAATCAAAAGGAAACTAAGCACAAAACCCTAGTTTTCTGTCAAAATCTCTCTCCGAAATTTATTCTCAAACTTTTTCCCAAAAAAAATCCTCCCTTAAGAATGAAAATCCTCACCTTATATATTCTTTTCTCCAGAAATCTCGAACCTTCTAAATCTGAAAATCCCCCAAAAATGAGAAAAATCTCTCTGAAATCAACTAACTTGGGACAGATAGACGAAGAGGATTAAACCCCCTTAATCCTACGACCCCCATCAATCCTTCATTTGTTGGAGAGAGATGAAGCACGTGAGATTCGAGTGAGAGGAAAGAATGAGGAATAATCGGGGTGGTAAACGACAGTAGAAGGTGGAGGAGGTTGGGGCGCCGTTTGAGGTCTTGGGACTTATGTTTAGGGTATAATTGGGCTTTTATATTGGGGTGGAATTTAATTGTGGCTATTAGATTGAATTGGGATGGAGGGCTGGGATTTAATTAAGGGAAATGTGGTGGGTTGGTCCGACTGGGCTGCGCGAATTTGGGTTTAAAAGGGGTTTTGGTCCACCAGGTTGGGTCTCTTGGGTGGCCCAAATCGGGAAAAAAAACTTTTGTTTTGTTTTTCTTTTTCTAATTAATTAAAACCTAAGTTAAATTTCTAAATTATTTTAAATTGTAAAATTAAGCTAATTATCTAACTATAATATTTATAAAATTAGTTACTCCTAGATTAAAAGAGAAATTTATGAATCTAAAATTAAAAGCTAAAAATGTAAAAGTGAACCAATATTTTTTGTGATTTTCATCTTAATAAAGAAATTGACTAACTAATTAATCCTAAAATCATGAAAATAAAATCTCAATGCAATGCATGGTATTTGTGGCATTTTTTATGATTTTAATAGAATTAAACATGCACAAAAATACAAACAATTAACCAAAAAAATCCTACACAAATCCTATAAAATTGCAAACAATTGAAAAAAATCTATTTCTTTATTTGTAGGAATATTTCACATAGGACACAAATCACGTGTTCACATACACACACCCTATACACTATACTATACTATATGAATATAGCTGGTAGCTTATATACTAATTACTTAACCAATGTACGATAGATTTAATTTCGATTAGTTAATATTTTTTTTATATAAAACAATTAATGTGTTATTTCAGGATTATAAATAAAATTTAGAAAAAATAACTAAGCATATTTTTACATTAAAATATAATCATAATTTTATTCACTTGAAATAATTTTTTATTGATTTATAGAATCCTTATTTAATGCACTCTTTTCTTCATAAAAAAGAAAGAAACAAACAAATAATAAAATGGATAGATTAGTAAATAAATATTTTATGGGAAGAGAAGTAGTAGGGTTTTCCATGGAAAAATAATTTTTTATTAAAATATTTCAAAAGTTTCGACCGATTTCGGTTGAAATTTGAAATTATGCTCTTGTCCCACATCGGCTAAAATGGGAAAATAATTTTTTATTAAATTTTTAAAAAATTTCCACCGATTTTAGTCAGAATTTGAAATTATACTCTTGTCCCACATCGGCTGAAAGATGTGAGCTTTTCCATCTTATAAGTTGAGCTTTGATGCATTGTCACGACCTAGATTTCCCACCATCGGGACCGTGATGGCGCATAACATCACACTTGCTAGGCAAACCTACGTTAGAGTGTTATTAACCAATTTTCTTTACATTTCAATGCTTACGAGTGAACAAACTTAAACAAGTGGAAATAATTGCGAAAGTAAGTAAACAGTTTCTTTATATATAAATACTATAACAGATATTGTCACTATTACTATCCAGAATCCGGTATCACAACTCACGAACATACTAGAATTATCTACAAACATTGGTCTGAAGGAAACAATTGTTTCGAAAGAAAGAAAATAGAAATGTAGAAGTGTAGAAGTGGACGTCAGGGCCTGCGGACGCCTGCAAGACTACCTTGGGACTCCAAACTGAGTAACCTGAAGCCAATCTCTCAATCAGCCACTGCCTGCTCCGAAATCTGCACAGAAAGTGCAGAGTGCAGTATCAGTACAACCAACCCCATGTACTGGTTAGTGTCGAGCCTAACCTTGATGAGGTAGTGATGAGGCTACGCCGGTGAAATTACAATATAACATATATAAAATGTGTGACAAAAGCAGAAAAAAATACGGAACAAAATGAAACAGTAACTTGCTAGGAATGAATACATGTCACGATCCGGATTTTCTACCCTCGGGAGTCGTGATGGAGCCTACTAGTGAAAGTTAGGCAAGCCAACTGTTTGAACTATTTACCTTTTTCCCATTTTTAATTTTTTAATAATTATGAACCAACAATTTATAAATAGCGGAATTTAAACAAGCAGAAGAAACAAATAAAATCATTTAAATATTTCCAATACAATTTCTTAAATAAAGACTACCCAAAACTTGTATCACAACTTCATAGACGGTCTAGGAATACTACAAATAGGGTCCGAAAAATAAATACAACACTGTTTCTGAAATACATAAATGAAACAGGATGAAAGGATATAGGGAGACACCAGGGCTTGCGGACGCCTGCAGGACTACCTTGGATCTTCGAATGGACTGAAGGCAGCAACCCAAAGCTACGATCCGTATGCTCCAGTACCGAGATCTGCACACAGTGCAGAGTGTAGTGTCAGCTGTCACACCTCCTTTTTACCTACATCCCCGGAAAAGGAGTATATAATGGAGTTTTTTCCAACTTAAAGTGACAATCAAAACGGGATCATTTTATTAAACATTCAGAGTCACCACTTGGGATAATTTATGGTATCCCAAGTCACCGGTTCAAATCCCGAATCGAGGAAAGAATGACTCTGTATCACAGTCCGCGAACCAAAAATCCGGGTAAGGAATTCTGTTAACCCGGGAGAAGGTGTTAGGCACTCCCGAGTTTCGTGGTTCTAGCACGGTCACTCAACTGTTATATTTGGCCGATTATCTGATTTTAATACATGTTTTAGCCTATGGTGCCATTTTAACTTATTAGCCGCTTTTATTCATTTTTAGGAAGATTGCAACGTCATTTAAAATATGTCTCGAACCACGTCACATAAATGCACCCGTAGTTCGCAACACATTTCATATAACATTGTTGAGATTTGGATTTGGATCACATAAATGTGCACCAGAGTTTAGGAAAGTAATTTATTAAATAGCGCGCCTAAAGAAACTATGCGCTTATTTTTTTATGCTATCAATTTATCAGAAATGGTCATTTCTACCTAACTATGACACAAATCCAAACTAATGTGATTTAATCCAAACAGAACAGTCTCGTCGTTATCTCTTATAGTCTATTTATCGCTCTTACGTGTTTTAAACATTAAACCTACGTCTCAAATTATTGTTAAGGCGTATACTTATCCTGGTTCCACACAACAAAAGTTAATTCACAGAAACAACCAAACATCAGCAGTTAAGGCATACACTACTAATGATATACGTTATTCTAAAACAAGCATCAATGAAAATGAAGCAGCGGTGCACCAGCAAAGTCCATCAAAACTATTCAAAAATTGAGTAATGTCGTGAAGGAAGGAACTGACCTTTTAATTAAAAAATTGAAGTCTTCTAGTATAGAGGAATCTAAAATAGTGAGAAGGATCCCGACGGACCTTGAACGGAAAGCCAACAACTGACCAGCGCTCGACCGGAACATACGTCGGCGATTCTAGCAGGACCTTTACTGACCGAAAAACTCGATGACGACCTCAGCGGCAAACTCGAATCACCGACTCAACGACTAAATGAAAAGCTTCCACCAGGGACCTCGACGAACCCGACACTTCAATATATGGCGCTGTACGGATCTCACAAACGAACTCCAAGATGGATTCAACCTCGACAAGGAACCAGCAAAATAGTCATCGAAACCCGACCAGAAAAACTCGAGACTCGCCGGAAAAGTGTTAAACGAGCTTGTGAACTCCTCACTGTTTTCAGTATGTACGTGTGTCGTGGTTGTTTTCTTGTTTGAGCTGGTGATGGAGCTTGGCAGCTATAAAGTAGTTGGTTGTTGTGTGTCGTTGGTTTCAGAGGCTCCGCCTGGAGCTCGTAAATCCGACGAGCTGCTGGGGCTCGTTTTTCCGACGAGTTTCAAGCAACCGTGGTCAGCGTTGTTTTCCTCTTTTCGTTGTTGGGTGTTGTCTGTTTTAGGGGCTGCGAAGAAGATGATCTTCAGAGGGACCTCGACGAACTCAACCTCACCGGAAAATATGGCAAAGTAGTGGCAACGCACAAAACTCCTGGCTAGGGCAGTGGGTTTCTGGTTTTCAGGCGAGGAGTTATTGTTTTGGGCTTATGCTACTAAAGAAGTAGACTCACAACGGGGGGTCGTTTGGAGAAGATGGAGTCGGGGTCGTTTTCTATTCAAAACGCTGAAGAAAAATGAACAGGCGAGGGGGAGGTCGGAGAAGACGATCCGAAGGGGGAGGGGTCGTTCCTTGCGCAGCTTTTCAGCTTTTTCGTTCAGCCTTTTTTCTCTTTTTTCTAATTTTTTAAGCACTCATTTATAGGTAGAGTCTAGGTTTAAGTGTATCTTTGTGTATTTTGCCCATTAGTCCCTAGGTCTTTTGTGTTTAGTCCTTAGGGTCTTCTTTATTTGTTTTTTATTCCAAAGAAAAGTCTAGAAAGGTCCCTAGGCTTAATGGATTAATCCGAATTGGGCCAAGAATTGGGTTCTAAAACTCTTAAAATTATGACCCAACACCTTAATTGACTCATTTTAAGTAAGATCAAAATACTACCTCATGCCAAAGGCTAACATGAAACTATTATATATTTTTTATTTTCAAAATTA